AGTATCAGGAACGAACGACCCCACACGGCACGAGGACAACTATTTATTCTCAACAGTATATTTCACTTCCATCGACTAATAACAATGAACAATGAATGACTAACTGAACAACTGAAACAATGAAACTAACACTAAAACCACCAGGTAGTTATAGCGTGAAAATGACAACGTATATGAGAAAAGCATACACACACAACATACAACTTCAGCGCATACAGCAAACCGCACATAGCGCCTGTAGCGTATGGCACGTCGTAAACATCAGCGGTACGGCGGAGTCGGGATACAGCTGCATTAAAACGAACACAATGTCACAAGCGAGAAGGCCTTTCACTCTCGAGAACTTGTCGTTTCACAACGATGAGGGAGGGTGAGGAAATAGAAGTGAAGTGAGAGCTATGTGCAACGGCGGGTGAGAAACTAATTGTAACGCTAGAACTGTGTAGTGAGACAAACCATCATGCTGTGCACCTACGAAAACAATCTTAATGCAACTACAGTGAAACTTGTAATTAACGACCACCGTGACTAGCGACCGACCTGGTACTACCAACCACTTTGTCAGGCGTGGACGGTCTCACATTCAAAATGCACTGTGACTAGCGACGACCTGCTGAACGCGACCAACGACCGCCTTTTCTTGTCCCAATGTCGAATTTTGACCCGTAACTAGCGACCGCGATTAGCCCTTTTCCAAAGGTGCTCGCCTTTTTTGCCCTTTTTGCAAACTCCCGTTTCTTTCGCCCTTTATTGCGTTTTTTTGGTGAATATCACTCTTTTTGAGCTTTTTTAGCTGATAAAGTGCTAAAATCTGTTTGCTCATGCATGCGGTCACAGTTTCCGAGTGCTCGATCTGGATGGGCTTTGGCAGGCCGAATTTTCGGGGGGGGGGCAACAAGTTGGTGAAGCTTGTACCCGGTGTACAGAATGCTGTAAAAGTGAGTGTTTTGAACTTTACTTCCTGTTTTGCCTTTCGTGGACCAATAAATGGAAGAGCGCGTATTCATTTCTCAGCTTGGGTTAATATCTGAACATGTATCATGGCTTACAGCATCATGGAGTGAGGTGCAGCCCACAACAATCCAGAAGTGCTTCAGCCATTGTGGATTTGCAGTAGAAGCACCGTCATCAGGGTTGGATGAACCTGAATTTAACGAGCTACCTGCTGCAGGGAGTGTCCTTGGAGATCAAACATTGTCGGATTATGCAGTAATAGACAACGAGCTTGGAACAAACGAAATTCCGTCTGATGATTGGGAGAATAGAATCTTCCAAGAAGCACGGGGTGAGCCTGATGATCATGATGATGCGGTCGATGCCAGTGGGGATGAGTGTGATGCTGAAAAGTCTACAGAGGCCACATATCATATAATGGGATCCATATATGGTCACGCGGTGCAAACCTCTAACTAAAGACCACCTGCCTCTAAAACCACTTTTTCGGGCACCAAGGGGTGGTCGTTAGTTACAGGTTTTACTGTACACGTTTCTTCTGCTTACAAAATCCAGGCTTAAGCAAACTAATGTTGTTGTGAAACGACAAGTTCTCGAGAGTGAAAGGCCTTCTCGCTTGTGACATTGTGTTCGTTTCAATGCAGCTGTATCCCGACTTCGCCGTACCGCTGATGTTTACGACGTGGCATACGCTACATGCGCTATGTGCGGTTTGCTGTGTGCGCTGTAGTTGTATGTTGTATGTGTATGCTTTTCTCATATACGCTGTCATTTTCCCGCTATAACTACCTGGTGGTTTTAGTGTTTGATTTCAGTTCATTCCGTTGTTCATACATTCATTGTTCATTGGTATTAGTCGATGGAAGTGAAATATACTGTTGAGAATAAATAGTTGTCCTCGTGCCGTGTGGGGTCGTTCGTTCCTGACACTTTCGAGAACCAGAGGGTTCGCAACATTTGGCGACCACGCCAGGATACGAAGTGAGCATGGCACAGGAACTATGGATCATTGAAGCCAGCTTTATCGCTAACGGAATTCGGTATGGATTGGAAGGCGATAGGTTGAGAGAATACGTGGAGAAGAGGCTCCGACAGAGCGAGGAGTTTGAAGAGCTCAGTGCTAGACGGTAAGAGGGTGCGCTCCGCACAGAGTTTAACGAAAAGCTCAAGAAGTGTAACGAGCGCATCGCCAGCAGTAAATATGAGGGAGCAAAGCGAGATTTGCTTGCCACACGCGAAAGGACGCCTGACAAGGCGTGGAAGACTTTGCTTACAGACAAGCAGCGGTCAGAGGAGCATTCGAAGCCAGTGGGAGGATCAGATCCAAGGCCCACTGGGTCGGTGCAGTGCATGGCGACATCGGTCGGAGACGCTCAGAAGCAGCTGGAGTCTCGGCCGAACGACGTAGAGGCGAACGAGTTGGAGGCGCAAGAGTTGGAGGCGAACGAGTTGGAGGCGCAAGAGTTGGAGGCGCAAGAGTTGGAGGCGCAAGTGTTGGAGGCGCAAGAGTTGGAGGCGCAAGAGTTGGAGGCGCAAGAGTTGGAGGCGCAAGAGTTAGAGGCGCAAGACTTAGAAACGCAAGGCGTAGTAGCGAAGAAAATGAGAAGGGCGATACTACTGGTTAGCACGCAAGAAGTAAGCGGCGAGACTGTGTGGAACACAGAGATCCGATGTGTGTCCTCGGATTCCGCGCCCGCCCCGGGTCGAAGCAGTGTACCAGTGACCGTGTCGTGGGTGACAGCCCACAACGTCGAGCTTTATGACATTATCGGTTGTGTGTTGTCTCGTCCAGCGTCTGCCTCATGTCGAAGTGGATCGGTGACAGTGTCGTGTGCGACAACCCACAGCGGCAAGCTTCACGAAATCGAGATGGCTGAAGTGGTGGGCATTAGTGATATTCTACCATGGCCACCACCGCAGCAGCAGATGACGCGTAGTAAGCCCCAAATCGTTTGACTTGTGAGTTGTTGTACGGCGGTGAGAAGCCCTTTGGTGGGGAGAATGTTGTGAAACGACAAGTTCTCGAGAGTGAAAGGCCTTCTTGCTTGTGACATTGTGTTCGTTTCAATGTAGCTGTATCCCGACTCCGCCGTGCCGCTGATGTTTACGACGTGGCATACGCTACATGCGCTAGGTACGGTTTGCTGTGTGCGCTGTAGTTGTATGTTGTATGTGTATGCTTTTCTCATATACGCTGTCATTTTCCCGCTATAACTACCTGGTGGTTTTAGTGTTAGATTTCAGTTCATTCCGTTGTTCATACATTCATTGTTCATTGGTATTAGTCGATGGAAGTGAAATATACTGTTGAGAATAAATAGTTGTCCTCGTGCCGTGTGGGGTCGTTCGTTCCTGATACTTTAGAGAACCGGAGGGTTCACAACAAATGCAAACAGCCTCAAGTACTTTCAGCTGACTACAGATATGCACTTCCAGATCAGAAACACTGTTATCTAGCCAGGTCTCGGAAACGGCTAGTATATCCAGCTGCTGTTCTATCATTATACTTTCAACTTCACACAGTTTGTGGCATAGACTGCGTAATAATTATGCTATATTGATGTGGCCAATGTTAAGTGTACTACTGTGCTGGGTCAGGTGGTGGGTGTGCGGGTGAAACGGGGCGGCATGTGGATTAAGCTTCATGCTGATCCGATTGGTGTGTTGAGCATGTGGGTTCAAGGGAAGTGGGTCGGTGGTTTGAGCCATTATGATTTAACGGGTTTAGGAGCCCAGGCCTCTGTACCAAATCGCCACTCTCTTACAGTACGGCCAACTTCATCAGGCCAGAACGATTCTTCCGCGACCTTCTTGGCGTCCGTGACCAAGACTGTAATACGAGGAGAGGCTGTTGTAAAGTGCATGGAGGTGTACACGACGCTTTGTACTACAGATATACCTTGTGCCTCGCAGTGTTCAGCTATTGAATCCGCATCGCAGTCCGGGTCAACATTTCCAATGTAGTACACCGTCACGCAGGGTCGTCCTACGAGTCCAGGTGCACTGTTGGGTGTTTTCGGTGCCGTGTACCGCGATGTCTCCTCCCTATGGTGGTTTGGCTTTTGCGAACGATCGTCATGGCCAGGTGCATGCGGCCTTGGTGGCTGCCTTGCGGAGTCTGCGTACGAATTTTCTACAATGTGCTGTGCAGCTTGGCCTTGTGTTTGTACCGGTGCATGTGACAATGTCGGAATCTCTAACCTGTACATTCATATCTTTCTTCGTCTCTAGCCTTGATTTCAGTTCTCTTACTACCCCGGTAAGTTCGGAGAGTGCGGCGCAATCGCTAGCTACATCAGGGTTAGCACGACTCACGGGAGCCGAGTCCTTGGATCCTCTCAGTAGGGCAATCAGCATTGGCCTCTTCGCCTTTCTGGGGAACTCCAGTCCCAGTCGCTGGATGAGCTCGTTGAGCTCGTCATCAGTGAGCACGGCGATGTCCGTATTGGGGTCGAGGGCGGAGTGCCCCGGGAAACCGAAAAAAGGAGTAAAGGTCAGGAGCTCGCAAACTTGCATCCACCCTGACAATTAAAAATTGTAATCATGCTAGTTATGGCAACGGAAAATAAAATTATGCAGATTGATAAGCGCCTGGTTCGATCGTGAGCAGAGTACGAAAATAGCACACATCCAAACTGTGCAACAGAAGCAGAAGAGGAAATCGAAAATGAACACTGTCGTTCAGTGAAGTGCTTCTGTCCAAGGGTGCTCGCACCCGACGGGGTGACAGCGCCCCTAGTCAGACAATACAAGGCAAACGAAATAGAATTTAGCTGAGGCACAGCGCGGGACTGCGAAACGAAAACCGGTGAGTATGTAAATATTAATTGGTCGTACCTGCTGTACAAAGTAACAATTGCTCAAATTCATAACGCACTTTCAAACTAGCACTCGTAGAATTGTAGTTCGAATGTGCCACTCGATTATAGTAACAACGACAAAGAGATACTCTTCTAAACATTTCTCTTCCTTCCCCCTGTGCCGAAATTCACAGTGACCAAAAAATACGAAAATTGACTATTGTTCTGAAATAGGCAAACAAGGAGCTACTCACAGAACAGCTTGCAAAGACGCACGATTGGGCGGGTGTAGGTCTTGTCGCCCACCTTGACCTTCACAAATCGCACGTGTCCGTCTGGACCAGGGTGCACTTCGGTGACACGACCCATTGGCCAAGTGCCCCGCGGGTTGTCTTGGGATGTCAATAGAACGATGTCGTCGATCTTGAGGTCTGTCTCGGCCGTCCTCCACTTGACTGGCCGGTTCAGCTCTGGCACGTCTTCCTGCATCCATCTCCGCCAAAAGTGCAGCACGAGTTCTTGCACTGCACGCCAGCGTTGCCGAGGGTTGAACTCGCTCTCGTCCACTCCTGCAGGTGCAAACCGAGTACCGACCCGGCTGTACAGGTAATGGTTGGGCGTTAGTGGAGTCGGGTCACGACCAGCTGCCGACATGTAGGACAGGGGCCGTGAGTTCATGAGCGCCTCTGCGCCGACAATAGCAGACAAAAGCTCCTCGTCTGTGACCTCCGTGTTCTTCAGAATCGGCGAGATAGCACGCTTTGCCGATTTTACTAACGCCTCATGCACTCCGCCGAAATGTGGTACTGCTGGAGGGTTGAAACGCCAGCTAGTCTGCTGGTCCGCTGTCTGCCGCTGAATCACCTCTGCATCAAGCTGTTTGACTAGCTGAGCAAGCTCATTGGTGAAGCCGACGAAATTCGTGCCATTGTCGGAGATGACGTCGATCAGCACTCCCCGTTGATTGGCGAAGCGTACGTACGCCTGCAGAAACGAGTCCGTTGTCAACGCGTATGACAGCTCGAGATGCACTGCTCTCGTCTGCAAGCAGGTGAACAAGCACAGATACCGCTTGTGTTGTGTCTGGCCGCGACCCGGCTTCGTCATAAATGGTCCGGCGTAGTCTACAGAGACTCGGCTGAATGCGCGTAGCGGCAGGCTAACTCGGACCTAAGGTAGTGACGCCATCACCTGAATTGCCGGCTTCGTACGGTTCCGGGCGCTCCTCGCACACTTGGCTTCCCAAGCTCGCACCTCTTCACGGCCAGCGACGATCCAGTAGCGTTATGAGAGTTCGCCTAGCGTGTGGCTGACACGGAACGCGTGATATCCTCGTTCGTGACATGCCTTGACAATCAGCTGTGTCGCATGATCTCCTCGTGGGAGGACGATTGGATTGCATTGTTCTGCAGTCAAGAAGTCAGCATGCCGTAGTCGACCTCCGACGCGTAGAAGGCCAGCGTCGTCAATCATTGGCTTGAGCGAGACCAGCTTGCAGGTTGCAGGGATCGGCTTCCCTGCCTTAACTGCAGCATACTCTGGCAGCGACTGTTGCTGCGCTCACTTGTTGTAAAACTCATCAGAGTCCCGGATTGCCTGTGCCGATAATTCGTCAAACTCTCGCTTTGCGGGTGGAAACGAGCAATTCGTAGCGAATCGCACACACCAAGCATGAATACAGCACAATCGTACCCAGTCGGAGTAGCGGCTTGGCTCATGACGATTCAGCTGGCCGTGGCATTGGTCGACGGTCATCGCAGCCAGCTCGATGGACTTGCCCGTTGGTTGGTTGACTTTCTTCAACTCCAGAGTTGACGGACGGGGCTTCAGTTCCGGCTGAACTGGCCGTTCACTTTCAGCGGCACCGAAGAAGCCAGGACGGTTCCACCATAAACTGCTTCCCGCCAACTCTTGCATTGACATTCCTCGAGAGACCGGGTCGGCTTGATTGAGCACGGTGGGCAAATACCGCCACTGGGTAGGATTGGTTTGCCGTTGAATCTCGCCCACTGGACTAGCCACAAACTGCTTGAAGGTGCGGCTGTGATTGGTGATCAAGTGCAGAACGTTGCTGCTGTCCGACCATAGCGTCGTTGTTCGGGGGTCGAGGTTCAGTGACTCGGCGGATAATATGGCGAGCGTTGCTCCGGTTGTCGCCGCCATAAGCTCAAGACGCGGAACGCTGACAGCAGTCACTGGTGCCTCACGGACCTTGCTTGCGACGAACCGTGCTGTCGGTTCTCCAGTGTCATAGTGACTGACAAGACACGCGACTGCTCCGTATGCTATCTCGGACGCATCTGAGAACACGTGAAGCTGGCTACTGATTGCTGTGCGCGCTGTGGCCGTCAGGCAGTGTGGTACACGTACTGTTGATAGCTCCGTCACCTGCTCAAGCCAACCAAGAACCTTCTTGGCGATTGCTGGGGGCAGTTGCTCATCCCATGCTGCTCCACAAAGCCACATTTCTTGCAGCAGGATCCTTGCTTGCACGAGGTACGGTGCGAGGAGTCCAAGTGGATCAAATAAACTTGCTGTTGCACTGAGAAACGCGCGCTTCGTTGGATTAGAGCCGATCTCCGATAGCTGCAGTTCGAATGTGAACTGATCCTCTTTCGCAAGCCAGAGGATTCCCAGTGGCTTGACATTCGGCAGCTCTCCCTTCGTGAGGTTGCTCTCCTTAGTGCGATCCTCCTCCGGGATGGTCTGCAGTCCTGCCGTGGAGTTGCTCAGCCATTTGCGCGGGTGCATACTGGCTTTGTGCCTCAACGCCAACAGCTGCCTTACGAGCTCAACGCCTTCCTCATCGCTTCGAACAGAGTCCATGGAGGCATCCATGTACGTTGACGCAAGGACCGTTTTCGCTGCACGAGGATAGGTGTCGACGTGCTGATGGGCATTGTGCCTTGCCACGTGTACTGCGCTAGGAAAGGCGACGCGTTCACACGGAAGACAACCCGGTTGAACTCAAACGTGGTCGGTTCCTGTTAATTAACCCACCACAGAAAGCGATGGAAGGGCCTGTCCTCCGGAGCCGGGGATATCTGGAGATACATTTCCTGGATGTCGCAGATGATGGCGACCTTGTTCTGCCGGTAGCGCAGGAGTGCCTACGGCAGCGATCGCTGCAGCTTGGAAGCAGCACTGATAACATCGTACAGCGCTACACCTTTGCTGATGCCAGCTGCGTCGAAAACCACACATGTCTTTGTGGTAGCCTTATCTTCACGGATGATGGTGAAGTGTGGACGGTACCATTCATTTACAGAACCTCCACACTCTTTGTCTGGCACTCGTCGAATGTACACGTTGGCTAGGTACTTGCGGATGACACCACTGTACGCTGTTGCTGCTGCTGAGTCACGTCGAAGCCGTTTTTCTAATCTGTGCAGATGGCCGGGTGCCTTCGCTGGGCTTTCAGGCATGACTCATTGGCTACTGTCTTGCCACCTCTTGGAAAATCGGACCATGCCTGTATACTTGCTGACTTCCAGATCCGTGCATCACGCGAGCCTCCCATATCAAGAACAGTATGGAGGTATCAGCATGCTGATTGGGCCAGGCTCCGTCACTTCTTCAGAACCACCAATTGGGCAGCTATTGCTTGGACTGATCCAGACCTGTCATGCACTGGCATCTCAGAGAGGATCCTGGAGGGTATGAAGAGATTCATCCCCTCTAAAATTCTGAAAACCCGAGCATCAGATCCTCCATGGTGGACCCCTGAGTGCACTGCTGCCACAGTGAGGAAACGACGTGCATGGAAGTGCCTGAGAGACGACCAGTCTGACGACGATTGGCAGTCAGCCTACCAAGATGCACGGCTCTCAACGATTGCCTGTCTCAAAACTGCCAAGAGTGCTTTCATGGCGAAACTGAGACAGAAAATGACCTCAAAGCAGCTGCCACCCGGTGACTGGTGGCGCACCGTCAAGCGTGCCTCTGGCAATGGGCGTAGTCAATCTGTTCCGACATTACGTGATCCCGATGGACGTGAGTACACAGCTAGCGCAGACAAAGCAGAATGTATGGCCCGCTATTTTGCAAGCAAATGCAGTCTCGGACAAGATGACCTGTCAGCCCCATTCCCATATGTCAGACCTCGAACTGACCAGGCTCTTTCGGACGTCCGTTTCCGCGTCGCTGCTGTTGAACGCACCCTTCGCCAGCTCAACCCATCAAAGGCAACCGGGCCGGATAGGATACCGGCACGAGTGTTGAAAGCCTGCTCTGCTGAACTGGCGCAACCGCTTTCCATACTGTTTACCCAATGCTTCCAAACTGGGATACAGCCCAAGACATGGAAGATTGCCAACATAGTCCCTATATTCAAACGGAAATCAAAGTCTCTACCCTCCAATTACCGTCCAGTTTTGCTCTTGTGTATTCTGTCGAAGGTGATGGAGACAATCATCAACAGAACAATCACAAATTTCCTCGAGTCGAACAACGTCTTCTCCACCAGACAGTTTGGATTTCGCCATGGTCATAGTGCAGCCGACCTCCTTACCAGCCTCCACCACCAGTGGCTGCATACAGCCGGGGAAAAAGGCGCAGCACGCATACTCGCCATTGACAGCGCCGGTGCGTCTGATCGCGTATCACACCCCGGTGTGCTACACAAGTCCGACGTATACGGCCTGCGTGGGCAACTGCACCAGTGGCTCAACAGCTACCTCAGTGAACTCTACCTTCAAGTGGTCATTTGCGGCCAGACATCCTCAAGGCTCCCAATTCAGGCTGGAGTCCCCCCGGGCAGTATTCTGGGTCCGACTCTCTTCCTCATGTGCGTGAACGACTGCGAGGACCACGTACCAGCCGGTGCTGACCTAGCCTCGTTCGCAGACGACACTACGCTGTATGCCAACATCACCCCCACCACCCAAGAAGATACCACCCAAGCCCTCCAGCTAGCAGTCAACAACATCTCCCGCTGGGGTCAAGAATGGAAAATATAATTTGAACCAGCCAAATCCCAGGCACTGACCGTCAGTTTCCACCGCACCCAATGGGACATGCCACCGATTGACTTCAACGGATCAAATGTGATGGAACAGGAGGAGCTCAAAATCTTGGGCATCAGTTTCGATGGTCAGCTTACCTTCCGGCGCCACCTTCGAACCGTAGCCCTCCGGGCAACACAGCGACTTGGTGCTTTGCGTAAGGCTTTCCACCTCCTAGACGTGCCCGGTCGCATCCAAGCCTACAATGCTTTTGTGCGCCCAGTGATGGAGTACTGCCCTATTGTCTGGATGGGAGCGGCCCCATCCCATCTTGCAAGACTCGACCGTGTGCAAGCCCGGGCCATCCGTGCCATCGCCCCAATGTGTTGGCTGCCAAGTCTTGCTCTTCGTCGGATGGTTGCAGCACTTTGCCTCCTGTACAAGATGCATTGTCCGGATGCGCTTCCCCTTCTACAGAGGATTCTGCCACCCCAGCAGCCCCAACACCGAACAGTCCACTACACCCGTAGTAAATTCCAGAGATGTAATGCTCACGCACACCAACTGGCCAATGAACTTCCAGTCCGTTCCCGAAACAACCTGTGTCGAGCCTACCCTCACGCAGTTGTCCCCGTCTGGAACCAGCTGCCCGTCGGAGTCTTCTCTGGTCCTTTCTGCACCAAGAACTTGCAACACTTCAAAGTTGCAGCCAACCGCTATTTGAAGACCAACGACTGGTCGTGGGCACATGACCATCTCTGATCATCATCATCATATCTGCCTCACCCCATGACTTCCAAATTCCGCTCCACATACTATTCCCAATAACGTCTGTTCTTCTTTTCTCTCCTTCTTCTCCTAGCACTGTCTGTATGTACTGTCTCTCCTCCTAACATTTCGTATCAAGTACCGGTCACTCCTTTCATTTTTCTTCTTTTTTTGGTGCGTTTTATGTCCCCATGACGTCGAGACCTCAGGTCGGCTGAGGGCAAAAAGCCTCACCATCACTATGCTCCCACTATGCAATTTTTTGTCTTTGCCTGTGAGCTGTGATCATTGTAAAAAAAAAAAAAATGACTGGACGTTTTAATTTCCAGGGTATGCCAACGCAGTAGCGGCCGTCCGTCACCTTCAACGACGTTGTAATTTTCTGCTCTGCCGCCT